TCCCACCAACTTGGTATTTTAAAAAAAAAAGGATGAATTAGAAATATCAATCTGTGGCACTTCTTTTGTTCTTTCAAAATTATTTGGATATGTATTAAATTAGCTTCAATATATACAGCCCCATTTTGTTTTGAATTTTTACACACATTTTCATTTTGAAACAAAGGAAACGATTGATTGTATATTGTTTAACGTCCCTCTCGAAAATTTTTCACTCATATGGAGACGTCACCGTATGCCGGTGAAGGGCTTCAAATTTTGACCTTTACTCGGCACTCAGGGTCATTGAGCAGTGAGAGATCTTTATCGTGCCAACCCCTGCCGCTGACACGGGGCCTCGGTTTTTAAGGTCTCATCCAGAGGACAAGCAACTTTATCTTCAAAGTGCCGAGCGCATGGCGAAGGAACAGTTGCTACCCATTTTAACGACTAGGTCAGTCGCGGCCGAGATACGAACTCACGACCTCCCGATCACGGAGCGAGCGCTCTACCGCCTAAGCTACCGTGAACGGTCAAAGGAAACGAAGTTAGAAAATATTTACTGCTAGTATCAGAGAGCTTAAAGCACGTAACATCATTGGCAAAACATACAAACAATCAATGTTTATACAATTTTAATAATTTGACAACCCAAACTACTCTTTAGACGACAAAAGAGGTGTAAGCGGAGCGCGCCATTTCGTGAGAGACTGGGAAGCTCCCACAACGCTCCTCCTACGTTCTACTACGATCTCTCTACGTTCATGGTAAGGGTGAAACTATACTTGAGAAAATGCCCTTTACACAACGTGGTAAAGGCTGTGAAAAATCTGCGGTTGCGAGATATATATATGCATCATCCCCAAAATCGTACTAGAAAAATCTATGGTTGCAAGATATATACATCACCAAAATCGTACTTGAAGCGTAATACAATCGTAATATGATCGGCACCACAGAAGCGATATCGTCGTACAGTCATCTTGGTCTGCGTAGCGTCGAGTATGATTTTGTACATGTACGTATGTCGTAAACGCAGTAAACACGGCCGATGGTCGGTTAACGGTCTGTGTAACATCGTAGTAGAAATTTTAAAACGTGTCAGTAGCGCGTTTGACGAAGAGGCATCGCAGTACGGTCGTAATGAAAACCATAATTTGCCAAATTGCTCGATTTAGACGCCGATCGGCACCGATCAGCCCCGATACAAAACTTTTTTTTCAGAGCATGGGTTGATCGAGATTATTCTCGTAAAGTAGCAGCGCTGTGTGAACGGGTGGTTACGTGCAATGTCTCCTTTTCAACCTCATTTTGGGATACCCTAGCAAAATCTCACAAAAACATTACAAGGTGTTATAAATGCCTTACAAGATGACAGTTTATCTCTCATTAAATTGTTTCCAATGAATAAAAAGCGCTAGCAAATCATGAAAAATTCCAAGCAATTGCAACTGGGTCAAAAACTTACACAAACACACACCCTCCGTCACCCTCACAGACACACACAAAGAACAAATATCTTTCATAAGATGTATGTAAGAAGGCAGCACGACAACTAAATGGTTTGAAATGGATTGCATTCTTCAAAGCAGTCTCTGTTATCCTTTAGGCATGCCTTAGCTCTTTGTATCTATGGCGAGAAAAGTGCAGCGTACTCATCCTTACAGATGCCCCCAAAACTCTGATGAAAAAACTTGATCCCACCTCTTATGTTTTACAGGTCTATGTTTCCTCTTCTCTAATTCTATATTGTTTTTTATGGACTTTTGAGTTTTTCTCCACATGTTTCATTACAACATACATGTACTAGTATCTGTATATGATAGTGTACAGTCTTCCTTTGATTGTTTTCATGTCTTTTTGGAATAAAAATATTTGACAATGGGTAAGATCTAGCGAATATGGCAGAGCTCTTTAAACTTTTTTCTGTCAAAATTTCATTTTTTTCTCTAAGCTAATTTTCAACAGCATTGTCAGGTAAAGGAATATTTCCCTTGATGCCAAAATTTGAACTTTCTTTGAAGAAAAACTGTTTAACTTTCCTTGGTTCAATTTGGACAAAAAAGTTACTATTGATAGTCCTTCATTTGGGTGTATTCACCAGCGTGGCGCAACAGTTAAAGCGTCTGCTCTAAAGTTGCAAAGTAAGGAATTGATTCTTACGTCGCTGGTTCGAATCCCACTGTTGAACGTGGAGACCGGTCCTTCGGATGAGACCTAGAAACCGAGGTTCCCTATTGCAGTAGATGCACCAAAAAGATTCCTCACTGCTGAATGGCCATGAGTGCCGAGTATAAGACAAAATTTTAGAGTATTGGGCTTTTTCACTGGACCTCTTGATAGCCCTGGACCATTTTTAGCTCACCATGAGTCGAATGCTCAAGTGAGCTTTTTTGATCAAAAGAACTTTATTCGGTAAAAACCAATATTTGCCCCCCAAATCAAACTTTGATGGAGATATATTTAATTAAGTTCTTAAACAGGGGAGTATATGCTGACTTCAAAGCACTGAATATTTTCATAAGTAATGACGCCACATGTACGTAATGACGTCACAAACATGACGTAAATTTCAGTTTTCTATGAATTTTACAGAAAAATATACACATTTCGTCGATATTTTGAGTAAAAGTCACCGAGCGCATGTGTGTTCAGGATCAATATTTTGATACAATGTGAAGAATGATAATATCAATGAAACATGTTAATATCGTTCCTGAACAAACTTGCGCTCTATAAATTTTAAAGCTAAAATTGTTGAAATTTTGTCCATTTTGTCCTCTTTCTGAAAAAGGATATAAAATTGGACTAGTTTATGACGTCATAAAAATGAAAATTGTGAATACACTGCTTTGACACTATAATATTTTCTGTTAATTTATATTTCCCATACAATTTATTGAATTCAGCACATTTCAGGAAGTTTTCAAAATTTGACTTTTGTGGGGGCAAATATATGCAATATACCGCATATAGTTCTTTGTCCGTCGTCTGTCGTCATTGACGTTGTAAACTTTTTACATTTTCATCCTCTTCTCAAGAACCGCTGGGCCAATTTCAACCACACTTGCCAAAAAGTATCCTTGGGTGAAGGGGATTCAAGTTTGTTCAAATGAAGGGCCACGCCTTTATTCAAGGGGAGATAATTCAGAAATAGTGAAAATTTGTTGTTATGTTTTAAAAATCTTTTTCTCAAGAACCACTGTGCCAGGAAACTTGAAACTTATATAGGGAAGCATCCTCAGGTAGTGTAGATTCAAGTTTGTTCAAATCATGACCCTCGGAGGTAGGGCAGGGCCAAAATGGCTGATTAAAGTTTTACATTGAAATATGTAGGGAATTTCTTTAAAAATTACCTTCTTAAGAATAGCAAAGGCATGAATGATCATATTTATGGAAGCATCCTCAGGTAGTGTAGATTCAGGTTTGTTAGAACCATGACCACAGGTGGTAGGGCGAGGCTTCAATGGCGGATGGAAGTTTAACATAGAAATTTATAGGGAAATTCTTGAAAAGTCTTCTCAAGAATAGCAAAGCCATGATTAGTCATATTTATATGGAAACATCCTTAGGTAGCGTTGATTCAAATTTGTTCAAATCATGACCCCTGGGGGTTGAGCGGAGCCACAACATGGAGTCCAGGTTTTACATAGAAATATGTTGAAAAATTCTTTTAAAATCTTCTTTTCAAGAATGGCAAAGCCATGATTATTCAAATTCTTATGGAAGCATTTTCAAGTAGTGTAGATTCAAGTTTGTTCAGGTCATGACCCCTGGGGGTAGGGCGGGGCCACAAAGTAAGTTCAAATGTAAAGGGCTATGAAGACACAGGTAGTCAAAGAAATATGCAAGCTTAGTGTAGATTTAAGTTTGTTCAAATCATACCCTTTCCCTTTAAGAATTGGTTGGGACCACGTTTGGGTTTGAACTTTTCAATAATAAACTGATTTCTGCTTTTTACCAAGCTACAGTGCTCAGGTGAGCGATGTGGCCCATGGGCCTCTTGTTTTGACTGGACCTCTTGGGAAGAAAAATGAAAATTAGTAACACAAGTTTGGGGCTCTTGGTTCTCTTTACAATAGTTAGACCACTCTCTTTCTTTGATTCCACATTTTTTAATGATCTTTTTTGGCTGTAAAAAGTGTTGCTATGTTTTGGAATCAATCTCGTAAGCTTATCAAATATTTTATTTTATTTTTTTTAATATTAGGGTTTGAAGATTGATTGATTGTAAATTTTTAATGTCCCTCTCGAGTATTTTACACTCATATGGAAGAAAAAAAATGCCACATTAAAACACGTGTTTTGTCTTCGACAAAGGCACCTATATATTTCATGAAATACATGGAGATAACGAACAGTATTTAAGATCGAAAGTCCGTTCAATAAAACAGAATTGGAGCAGAGCAAACTCGGACCTCCAAAACACCAGAGATGGGATAAGGTGCCATGGAGGAATGAGCATCCCCTACCGACAGGTCTCATCCGCCATGTGCTCCTTCTCATGATCGGGATATAACAGAAAATCCGTCGACAATTAAATGTGTATACAATGGCCTAACAATCAGTATGAAAAACTTCAGTCAGCATTTGACTAAATGATGAATTGTAGGTGTTAACAAAGTGATTGTACGAGACTGAGCAATACTGATATTCATATCTAAATATGAAGCCTTTTTTTCGACTTTATGTTATTTAAAGCTCACCAGGATATATCGTGTCGACATATGAATAAAAATAACCATTGTTAATTGACAATATAAAGTCGATATATCTGTTTTCGTCTTTTCACATATAAGAAAATAAACAAAATATGCTTAATATAAATACAAAAATAGATCTGCTAACAACGGGATGCGATTGGTATCCATGGGGTTTCCAAAGGATTGGTGAAAGACCTTGTCTCCAACAATTACATAGATATCGTCAATCAGAAATCAATCTTTTTTTCAAGTTCAGAGTACTTGTTTGTACAATCAGAAAGTTTTTTAACAAAGTAATTCAGTAAATGACCAATAACAAGGAAAGAAACATTACGAGTTCCAATTTTATAGAAAATACAGCTGTGAATGCAAGCCTTGAATTTCTCATGAGAAATGGTTGTATTTGAAACTATGAAAAACTTTAGACGGTATAATGCACGCTAAAAAAATCCTTTATACAATATGTCATGCGTATTTGATATGTATTGCCCGAATTGGCGAAAACAACGACATTAAAGAGTACAAATTCTCATACAATATGTTCAAACTTCAGGACATATCCAATGTAAACTGCAGTCCACAGATTATGTATTTCAAATGAAAATGTACAGAATTTTCTTCCAATAAAACAAGACGGATTGAATAAACCGTGTTCATTTGCGTAAATATGTCTGCATTTGCATGTTGTAACACCCCCCCCCCCCTTTCACTAAAATTAGTAAACAATTCAAATAATCACTGGCGGAGATTCCAAACTTCTTTGAAAATCTCCCGATTCTTTTCGTTTCCTTTGATAAAATTCCAAAACATTTCTGCTCTTTTTCTGCGACTTTCGCCTGAAGCACTGTTGCATTTCTGCTCTATATCTTTGGGTACATTTCCAATTTTTTCAAAAGTTTCGACCATCATCTGCGTATTAAGCTCATCCAGTATTTCTACCTCACTTGGTAGTGTCCCTAGAAAAAAGTTGTTCATCGATTTATATCAATCGTGTAATGAATAACAAGTTAGAAAATAAAAATATGTTAAAATGCTTAGATAATCTTGCATCCAGAAAACGATAAATAACATTTAATTATATTGTAAATAAAAGTAAAATCAATATATAGAACATCTTTTTTTGATTAGTGTAAATGTTATCATTTGAAGAATCCTCCTCAATTGCAAACAAAGCATTTTTTTTTTGCTTCATATGCACAAAAAATTTATAAATTGGGAGTTCGACATTAAAACCATGACTAATTTTTTTTTTCAATTTCGTTTTTTATTACCAGTATAAATACAAATGAAATTAAAGTAATTCACTTATACATAGTTGCCTCATTTAATTCCTCCCTTTCTCTCATTGGATTATTCGTAGTTATTTTAGGAAAATTATTTTAACTTGCAGCGTCTAGTAATTTGGTCTGTTTGCAGTAAAATACACTTTAGTTTTATTACAAAGGAAATCAGAATAAATGAAATAAATACCTTGGTCTTCATATGAATTAATAGAGCAATTCCTCTTTTTACATTGGTCTCTTGGACGTTCTATATATTCAGATATGACCTTCCACAACTCATCTCTTTTCTGTTTAGGCAACGTTTCTACAATACCCAAGAAAGTCTTGATTTTTTCTTTACGGGTTTGACTCGACAGTATAATTGTGATGTCTGTATTTCCAAGTGCTTTCCGTATTTGTTTGTTGTTTAAAAGATCCATGGGTTCCATTTCGTTCAGTAAGAGTGGTCTTTCCGAAAGGCAACTGTCATTTTCTAATAATACAAATTATATTGATAAGAATAAAATGTACTTCAACAAGACTAATAAAATGCATTTGAAAATACAACCACAAAATCTAGTCCCTTTTCCTTGTTGACTTGTTATCACAGTGGTGTACCTAGACTAGTTATGAGCACACAATGTATGTACTTAAAATGTAGCTTACAGCTTATAGACTTCAAATTTCTCAAATAGAGTAAGTGGCTCAAATCTTATTGTCATCATATATTTTACTTGTTGAATTAGAGAATTAAAAGTTAAATATTTTTTTCATTTCAAGTCTCAAGAATCGGTTAGCCTTTGGTCAAATTTGGTAATCTCCTGTTAATTTCTGATTATTTAAAAGAATCTTCCCAATTAAGTTTTTTTCATTACTTTTGTAGTCCCTCTTTTCATGGATTAATGATATTTTTGTTACCTGTTTGACTAGGCTTGTGTTTGGTTCGGAGAAACACTTTTGGTTTATCCATTGAAATCTTCAATTTGCGAAGTACAGTCGAAACTGCTACCTTCATATTTTTAAAAGTATTTCCTTCGTGCGTATTGGTCAAGTGGAGATGAACGAATTCTGGAATTTTATCTGTGTGAAAAAAGATACATTACCCTTCAAACAATATTATGTTGGTTAATAATATTGTTCACTTCCTTTGTCAGTAGGTTTTGAATATATTTCATTTATAATAATCCTTACCAGTGCTGATCACGACTGCGTCTTGACCACTTCTGATTCTACGAACTCCCTTTCGAGATAAATGGACTGAAAACTCGTCCGTTTCATTATTGATACGTGACATAAAATCTGTGGTAGATGATTCTAAAAGCCGGAAAACAATAGTGACAGACCCTTTCTCTAATCCAACGATGACCATTTCACCACTGTCAACATCAAGTTCTTTAGCCAACATATTTCTGATATCATTCACTTCAGTCTGACATTTTTCCAACTCCTTCTCGACATACACTCTAACGCAATGTTCTGTTGTAAACAAACATTGATATGGATTAAAATAACAGTTTTTTGTCCTTATTGATGGATAAAATTTAAATGATATATATGGAGAAAACGAACATTTTTCAAGATCAAAAGTCCATAAAACAATAAAAAAAAAACAAGAGCAGAGCAAACACGGACCTCCAAAACATCAGAGGTGGGATCAGGTGCCATGAGCATCCCCTGCCGACCGGTCACACTCACCGTGTGCTCCTTGTCATTATCGGTAAATAACGGGAAATCATCGTCAATTCAGTGTATAAATAATAAACTAACAGTATGAAAAACTTCAGTCAGCATTCGCTAAGTTGTATTTGCTGACAAGGTCATTGTATCGCCATAGAATCTACGAAATGATGATTTTAAACGAGACTGCTGACACTCCTGTTCCATCAACTTGTTTGTCAATAATTTCCATCATTTTAGAAATTGTACATACGTAGAGCATGCTCTTGCGTATCGAATCAATTGATGAGAGATATAAAATTTAAAGAAAAAAACTAGAGTTACTGTGAGCACTGAGCTCACAAAATGACAAAAAAATACACCCGCCTCCGATATAATTGTAATGGACATATGGTTATTATGACAAAGTCTATGTTTTGCTCTGGAAGACACGAAATTAGTGTAAGATTAAAAAGTAAAATATTAAATGCACAATGACACTTTTAAATGAAGAATCTGTAAACGTATCATTAAATTTTATTCGGTAGTATAGGAGGACTTGCAGATAAGAGATGTTATAGAAAAATTTAAAAAGTGGTAGTGTCAATGTTTTGTTATGGGAAATCTGTAATATGTTTCTATTCAAAAAGTAAAATAGGAGGTCACAATGGCACGATGTAACAAAGATTCTATGAAAGTTTCATTACATTTCACTCAGTAGTATAAGAGGAGTTGCGGATAAGAGATGGGTACCCCAAAGTGTAACAGGCGGACGGACATTCCTATCACTATAAACATGTTTCAAAACTGTATCACCAAACCTTTATTAAACATTGGAGTTAAAGCCTTCGAATAATACATTTATTGTAATATTTGATTATTATAATATATTGATAACTGTAACTAATAACATTTCAAATAATAAAATTTGACATAAGAAAATCGATTTATATTCATTACATTATTTGACTTGATAATGTTTATTTGTGACAACTGATTGGTTATCATTGTATACGTGTTAATATATTTTACTTGAGTCGGAATTCATTATTTAAGAAATAATCATTCAATTCCAAACTTTTGTTTTTTCCAATGTTTTGAAATGTAAAGCATCTATAAAAGATTGATTATCACTTACTCTCATCCCCCTCTTTCTCTGACAAATTCGAATCGAAGTAAATCAGTGGAAAAAGATGCTGGTGCTTCGATGCAAAATCAGAACATCTAGTGCTCAGTTCATGCGCAGAGCATTTCTCAAAAATCCATTGCAGGAAACAGATATTATACTCAATTTTAAAATCCTCTTTTAAGTTGTTCAAAAGTCTCTGTGCATTCAATCCCTTCATCGCTTCTTCTTCTACAATGCCTGAATATAAAATAAAAATAAAATAGAACAAAAAAATCAGATCCAATTCAATGGTAGGTTGCTGGTAATTTTTTTTCTAGAATTAGCTCTTACAGCTAATTACATACCCTTTAGGACCTCTTTCATTGAAGCCAAAACATCGTCAGTAATTGAACCTGCTAATTGCTCTAGAAAATTCTTCATAGTCGAATTTCTTTCGTGTTCTTCTTGTTCTTCTTTGACAATCGCTGAAAAATTATGACATTTGATACAAGTAAAAGGTGCTGTGCGCTAAAACATTAGAATTACCACAAATAATAACAATATAATTTTAATACCTGTTTGCTTTTGGCCTTTGTCTTTGTCAGCATTCATTTTCTAAAATCAAATTAAATTTAATTGTAACTATTTATAATCATATACAGAACTTTTGTTTTTACTAGAGTCAATATCAAAATAATTGTATATTATCTTTTCTACAGTTCTATGTAATGAATTGATTAATATGGTATTCTCTTTGTTACCCTTTGTTTGAATACAATCAAATTATTGTTATTGAATGTGAAACTGTGATTCTGTTCTACCTCATCTCTGCCTCCTGAGACTTTATCACGCATCTTTTCTGGGTTCACATCATGTAGCTCTTCATGCGCTATTTCTTTTAACATTCAAACATATAAGTGAATTAGTTTTTTTTGCAAGTATGAATAACCAAAGCATATATTTTTAGAAATTCAAAGTTAATAAGCAGTGTAAGTAATTAGATTTACCTGGTTTGTAAACGATTTCATCCCTGATGAATATTTCGAAAACTCGGAAGGTCAAATGTCGTAAAATCAGCATTCGATATGTGATGTACTTCCATGAATTCCTCTCAGAAAATATTGACCTTAGGGAAGGTATTAATTTATCCCTGACCATAAATGTAAGTATAATGCTTCCTTGTTGTATACCAACAAGTATAACATCATCTGGTTCAGCTCTTAGAAATGTAGCGAGGCCCTTTCGCAGTGTATCTAGCTCACCTTTGTTGTATGAAGCGATATTCTTACAATGAATACGAAACACCACTTTTTCATAACCTACAAAATATGCGCAGTATGTAAAGTTAAATACCGGAAAACTTTATTTATTGAAAAATCTTCAATTTCACAGAAAATTTTTTTTCCGGTTCGAGCTTAAAAATATTATTCAAATAATATTTTCTGACATATTTGTTTTATATTTGGATAATATCTCTATTTGATACACAAGAGCATGCTGTACGTATGTTAAATTCTAAAACGAGCCAAATTATTGATAAACAAGTTGATGAAGCAAGAATGTCGACTATCTTGTTTGAAGTAATTATTGCGTAAGTTCTATGATCGATAAAATGACCTTGTCAGCAAAAGAGTCTAGAATTAAGTCAAATACACACGGACGTTTTTTTATTCTAATTGATAGGCCATTATTTATACACTGAATTGTCGACAGGTTGTTTTGTAATTTCCCAGTCATGATAAGGAATACACAGGGGTATGACAAGTCATCAGGAGATGCCCATTCCTCCATAGCACCATTGTTTGAATGTACATTTGAGCTTGCATACGATTCGATTTCTCCATTTTCACAGTATTCTTATTGAAAGAACGAAATCATGTTTGTGACATAAATCACATTAGGTGTTATCGTCATTGCAATATAGCAAGAGTCTTTTAATTTTTTTAATTTGAGCATGAGCATTTTTGATCTACATGTATTTCAATATTTCTGTCTTAAAGTGCGTATTTATTTAGTCAAAAATTAAGAATTATGTAACCTATAGTAAGAATGAAGTATAGGGATTTAACAAACAGTATTCAAGCTCAGAAGTCCATTAAATAATACAAAATTGGAGCGGAGCAAACAAGGACCTCCAAAACATCAATGGTGGGATCACTTGCCATGGAGGAATGAATATTCCCTGCCTACCGGTCACACCCGTCGTGTGCTCCATGTCATGATTGGGAAATCCGACAATTTAGTGTGTATATAATGGCCTAACGCTTAGTATGAAAAACGTCAGTTAATGATTTATTGTATTTGCTGACAAGGTCATGGCATCGACTGCTGAAATATTCTTGTTTCAGCAACTTGTTTATCAATAGTTTAACTTGTTTTAAAAATTGTTTAAAGGTAGAGCATGCTCTCGCGTGTCGAATCAACCGGGAGATATAAACCCCCTATGGATGTGGAAAAGGTATACGATTACTGCATAAGAGAGTTAACGATTGTAAAGTTAATATAGTTTGATTAATAAGTCATGCCCATGATTAGCGTAAAGATAATATATTTACATCTAAAGACTGCGTTTCAGTCTATTTGTTCTCTAAGTAATTCATGAAATGAATTTAGGATATTGAAAAGAAAAAATAGCATTTTTTCTTACAGTTTTTTCTTACAACTTCGATGCATTCTCAAATTGCAAAATAACACTGGAAATAACTCACAGATATATGTATTGTTTTAAATGAATTAAAATTTTGAATTAAAAAGCAAACTAAATACTTACCGTTCAGTTTAGATTTGGTTTTTTCAAAGTAAAACATCTCATCATCTCTGCTCTTTGAGTACTGCAAACATTTTTTGTACATATTTTCATCGGGAGGTTTAATTGCCAAGGCATATGCTTGAAGTATTGTCACATTATTGTACAAAGACAGCTTATTATCCATGTACTCGAGCAACCCCTTCGGTGTCCTCACGTTATCTAGTTCGGGATCAGGGTCACACATGCGGTCTACAAAAAAAACAACTTGCAATGTACATGCACTTCCTTTTGCCTTACCTATCATTTTACCCGATATGTCTATCGGTCTGATATCTTGAGAATTGTAAGGTCTCTTGTTACTGACCTCCTACCTTTGAACGTGACCTTTGATACACCTTCTAAACCATTTTATAGTGTTAAGTTTTGAAATATACTAGAATTATAGGTCACTTGAACTTGAACTTTGTTTTGTTTTGAATATATTTTATTGAAAAAATCAAAAAGTTGGAGACAAGTTTTTTAAAATCTTACTAGTTTAATTAACTACTAGGTTATGTCATGGAATCGAAATAGTTAGTACATAAAACAATCAATTGATTCAGAACTGAACTTTATTCTAATAATCATTGACCTTGGAATTTATCAGAATTTTACAACTTAGATTATTGTTGTATAATACTCGTTTATAAAAAATATTATTTCAATTATTTTGCATATTTGTTTTTTAACGTTAAAGCTGTTTCTATTTTCGCAGTTATAAACCTTTCCTCAGTCGGATCATTAAGTTTGCTCAGCATATTCACACATATTATTGCCTGTTCGTTTTTCCAATTCATAATTCATGTAAAAATTTATTTTGGTCTCTACTTTCCAAATGAAAACTTCAATGCATTTAATTCGTGAACAAGTATCTTAATTATGTTACTGTATACTAATTCTGACACTGAATATGGCTTCATTAATAAACATTTGAACAAAATTATCTGAAATGCAACCTTTCTCATCGGCATTTTTTTCAAAACAGATCTCTTTTAAATAAAAAATGTTCCACATAGTAGTAATTTAATAGGCATACAGTTACTCTTTTTAAAATTAACTATTAAGTAAGATGTATTTTTTTTATCTGACAGAAACCTTTTAAAAGTTCTTTCATTTTTCCTGTCGTTTCAGCTGACATTTCTTCACTTATATCCTGCAAGAAGTCACTGAATTCTTTGTTACAGGAGAATCTGGTAAATGCACTTAAGCCTCTGATAGTTTTACCAGATTTACTTTCCTCTGTAAAAAAAAAATAATTATAATCTATAATTTCCAGGAAAGGATATTTTAATTGATGATTAAAAAATTTTTGAACTCCTGTCTCGTAATGATAAAAACATAAATGTGGTAAAAATAAGAAATTAACTTATAAATGTTTGCTCAGTTTTTATAAATAATTTGGATAGCATGTCAAACCGTTTGCAAATGCACTAAGCCTGAAAAATCTATTCAATATTCTTTACGAAATTAAAGGTCACATGCAGAACGTGAATCATGATTGATAGTATGCATCCTTAATGTCACTGCAATCTTGGCTTATACAATCTTTAAAAATGATCAACTTTGGTTTGTTATATTATATCAAAAGTTAAGTGAACTTGAATCTTTTACCATTTTCAATTTTGATGTCACACGACGTTTGTTTAACTCTGCTTTTCTCGTCTCTTTCTTTCACCTTATTTGAAAATCTCTTTTCTTCAGTTTCTTCATGGAAAGTTTTTGGATCAGTATTATCTTCATTTTTCTCTGAAATTGATGCATGTCTTTTATCAAATTAATGAATTTATGACACCTTTTTATTTTCAGTTCTTTTTTAGATACACAAAAAACGGCTTTTTCATTAAATTGATTTGGTTCCAATATTTTAAGATGTTAAATCTATTCATTTAATATTGAAATGATAGACACAAAGGTAGTTCAAACGAGATTTGTGAATTTTCAAAGCATTTTACCCACTATTTCTAAATATTGACGTGAGTAACGGTGACAGACATTATTTTTTAAAGGAAAATAAGCATAGAAATGAATCATTTGACGTGCTTTTCTGCAAAAAATTTTAAAATGCAACAAATTCATGACGTCATATTTCCAAAATTGTCTTTCTTCATGCCCTATTTTATAATGATTTATGATTTTCATCCACTCAACTCATATTAAAACAAATTTCATTTTTTAAGAATAATAATTGTTGGTGACACAATTAAGCCAAAACCGTAACTTCTTCCATTTATTCAATGTAATATATAAAATCTGGAATTAAATTATTAAAACCACTCATTTTTAAAAATTTTGCTCTTTACCAGAAATTAGAACATACCGTTTCATGGTCGAATTTAACTTTTAATATACTTATAATATGGGTTATTTTTTCTTCCGAAAATGCCCCTGTGGCAACGCACTTTGACAAAATTCCGCACTTTGAAAAAAAATTTCAAAGTGCGTTATTTGGGACAAAATCAACGCACTTCGAAAAAATTTTTCAAAGTGCGTTAAATTTGGGACCAACTCAACGCACTTTGAAAAATTTTTTCAATGTGCGTTAAGAGTCGACTACATCAATATATTTTACCATGGACGCACTTAACGCACTTTGAAAAAAAATAATATTTTAGTCATGGAAAAATTTTATTTGTTATTTATCTTTCAAAAAACTAAGCCTAACCCTAACCTCATAAATGAATTGATTTTACTCCCGTCGAAAAGAGGAGAAGACGGGTATAAGATCCCTCAGTCCAAATCTTTACCTTTCCAATACGTGTCGGTAAAAAACGGGGGAAGGGAGCAATAAACCTAAAAAGGGTACGCTGCATTTTCAATGCTTATACGATGTATATATCTTTCCAAAATAAATGGGGGGCTTAGCCCCCCATCCCCTCCCCTGGCCCTTTGCCCAGTCTCGATGCCTATGCTATACTCAAAGCATTCATATAATTATGTATTTACCTAACTGGTATGATGTTGAAAACTTTCAATAATAAATGAGTAAATTAAAACAGATGAAAACTAGAAATTTTTAAGTACAGTAAAAAGTATGAGAGAGAAAGAATTTTCATAGATTTAAAAAATCAAATTGGCCCCTTTTTATTATGATAAATGCAAAGTTGCTTGAAGCTGTCCTCTGTTAGTGCCCCCTATACACCTTTACATCTTCTTATCAAAGACTAGAATTAAAAAAAAAAAAAAGAAACGAATCAATGAACTTAAACAATCATCACTCTTTTTTTCAAGACCCTTTAATTTTCCCTTTTATTTTATCAAAACCTTAAATATCTAAAACGTCAATATCTCAGGTCCTACAGTGACTTTATCATAAAAAAAGTAATCAAACCAGGATCTGTTATTCATCATACCGATTATTTGAAGGAATATTGATCAATCTTTACATTTTTTTCAAAGTGCGTTAATATGGTCGATATTAATGCACTTTGAAAAAAAATTATTTTTTTTCAAAGTGCGTTAGCTTGGTCCCAAATTTTAACGCACCTTGAAAAAAATTTTCAAAGTGCGTAATTTTTCAAAGTGCGTTGTAACCTGCCCCTCTGTAATGAAAACGTACACCAACTAGATACACCAATATAGATTATTATTATTACAGGGGTTATTAAAATCTTTATATCGTCTTTACCTGAATCTGAGTCCAATGTTTCTATTGCAGAATCGCTCCCCTTGATGGCCGCATTGTCATTGTCACTTGCTTTGCTTTCATTATCTGATTGGTTGCTGTCCCTCGTAGGTGGGATAGATACTTAAAAAATGAAGTGATTTAATTTGTTTTTGTTTTTTTTTTTCAGTGGACAAACTAACATCAGAAATTGTTCATAATTTTCTTATCTTCAAGTTCATTTTATTTACCCAGACCAATCTATTGGTACATGGGGTATTGTGCATAAATAACATATATACATTATATACAATATAAACAGTCTGGTCAGAGGTACACAATATAGGAAACATGACAGAAGATTAAGGGTAGAAAGAAAGAGTGGGGAAACATATCAAGGAGGACAGACAGCAGCATAGATTTTTTTGATAAATATACAAAGTTTTTTCATCACTTTTTCGTTTGAGGTTGACATAAGTTGCATGAATTTAATAACATTCGGTCTATAAGAATAATAATTGCCCAGATAATTCTTTTTATCTTAAGTGATCCAACAAATTGTTGAAAGATTTCATATCCAACTACATAGATAACAGAAACTGAAGAATCTTCGTGTGTACAATTAAAAGCCTCCTATGAAAATAAGTTTACAAATGACCAGTGACAGGGTAAGTAAATTTACGATAACGAGTTTTGATTTATTTTGAATAAAAAGCCAACTGTTTATGATTTCAATAAGTCTTGACATTATTTTCTGTCGGGAATGACTGATAAAGTGTTGGAATGTCGTACAATTTGATGTTACTAATTTTAGTATAATTTTCTGATTTCAAATTTTCTGTAAGTTCCTTGGAGTTTTTTTACGTATTCACATCTGATTTACACCACTTCTCGAATCGTTTTACATTACGTCTGAAGTTTCTTCTTTACTGTTGTAAATATTTTAGTGAGAATTAAATACTAGTAGAAAGGCTCTGTAGAACATTTCTGGAGCCCGTTACGTATCTTTTTGTAAGGATTTTTATAAGAATTTAGAATGTAATTAATTCAATTTTATTTTGATTGTTAGGAATACAAAATAAAATATTTTAACCATATGAATGGACGATTTTGAAGACTTTCCTCCTAAGAAAGTGAGTTATGGGGTATAAGTTTGACACACAGTATATTATTCAAAAGTAAAATAAAATGAAGGAGAAGCAAAACCACTTACATAATCGTTTCATTTGTGTTTCATCATCAACCATGTGTGTTTCATTCATCCCAATTTTTTCTACAATAAAATATGTCCATGGCAATTCAATCATTTTTCAAGAGATCTGGTAAATTTAATTATCACACTTTTTAAAAAATACATACTCAAACACTTGATTAGTCTCCTTCTTTTGATGATAGTTAATATAATAATGCCTGCAATAAAAGCTCCTACGAAACCCACGACAGGTAACATCCAGTACATTTCACTGTAAAGTAAAAATCTTAAATAAGTGATAAAATCTATTAGTAATACACTAAAAGTAGTAATAAATGCACGTGTTTTCTTAAGTTCAATGAAATTTCTGTAAAAAAACTACGAACATGTACTACATAATTCTATTACATGTGTTATACATGTGTTATACTATGTATGAAACACGAAGCGAAGATGGTCTAGGACTGTACGAGTAGACTGTTAGTTTTCTCGATATATTTTATTTCAGAGATATGAATACTTTTAATATTTAGACATTCTAATTAAGGGAATTTTAAATTACTTCTAATTTCTATTTGAAAATTATTATATTTAGATATTTGTGACCTTATTCATTCATTAAAATAATGCTAACTGAGTCAGTGTATATTCCACACAGTCATTGACAATTTGAAGTGATATATTATTTATAATATCGAGTTTGTGAAGATAATATTTTGGATTAGGTTTGTAAAGTTCTTGAAACGAAAGGATGACATTACAAAAATAGTGTAAACAAATATTCATAAATTTGTTAATACTGCAGATATCAAATGCTTAAAGTTCATTGGGATTAATCTGTTCCCAAAACTTTAACCTGGTCTCTTGTACGGAAAATATAGGTCAGATTCAGCATCCAAAGCAGGTCTGATAGCGTCCATCCCTAGATGCATCATCCATGCAAGTTTGATTCAGGTAGGTCTTATAGTTACTTGGGAACGAAAATGTAGGTCAGATCCAGCATCCGAAGCAAGTCTTGTAGTGTCCATCCCTAGATGCATCACCCATGCAAGTTTGGTTCGGGTAGGTATTTTAGTTACTTTGGAATGAAAATGTAGGTCAGGTCCAGCATCCGAAGCAAGTCTGGTAGTGTCCATCCCCAGATGCATCATCCATGCAAGTTTGGTTCAGGTAGGGCTTATAGTTACTTGGGAATGGACTTGCTCCAAAAACTTTAACCTGGTCACTCGTCTTGGGAATGGACCTGCTCCAAAAACTTTAACCTGGTCACTCATCTGGAAAATATAGGTTAAAACCAACATCTGAAGCAAGTCTGGTAGTGTCCATCCCCAGATGCATCCTTAGACGAAATTGTTGATATTTTTTTAATAAACTTGTTTGTCAGTAGCTTACAATTAATTTTTTTTGTACGTAGAGCATGTATTTGAAGTTTTGCGTATCGAATCAACTGAGATCTATAAACTCTATATGCAGATGATACGGCTTTATTACTACATACGCTTAAGGGAAGTTGAAGATTGAAAAGTTGAAGTCATTATGTTTATCATACGAAAACTTTGTTCTAAGGTCTTCGGTACCATTTACGTATTTTTCATGTAAAAAATGAAATAGAAGTGTTAAAATCTTAAAGCCATATATGGCGTAACTGATCAAAAAAATATATTTTTGAAAAATACAAAATAAAGTAAAGAAATATAGTTAATACATTTAAATTAAAGCTTTTCATACAATTCTGAACAAAGAGAACACCTCGTTTCATCTAATAATACGATTTTATCTTCTCTGTAATGTGTTATTTAAATCTTTTGTATTTTCTTCCGAGTCGGAGAAAATTCCGAGAATCCAAATTAAATTGCGATATGTTCATAACGCAATTGACTTAGATTTTGTAATTTACGGAAAAGTTCTATATTTATATAAAGTAATGATACAAATAATAAGTTCTTATAATTTTAGTCTAATAATTTTCATTGTACATACGCCATATATGGCTTTAAATCTTTTATTTCAAGCTCACTGTATTTTGTCAACAGATGAATGGAAGTAACTATTCTTAATTGATAAATATGACTACAAACAACTTTGCTGTTCATAATTTTTTTTCTTTGTAAAACTTTGATTCTCAATTATTGCACCGTCCTTTTTCTTGAAGAAATACTAGTAATCTGAACAACTTGAATCGACACTGCGTATTGAAGGTTTAATATAAATGGGGAGGAAGTTGAAAATGTGAAAAGTTTACAGATTTAAGAAAAGGCAGACAAAATCTGATCAGAAAAAGGCGCATTTAATTTCCAAATACCGGTTATTAGCACGAGATGGAACCGAATTATTTATCGAGTATCAAGTACGTAGCGTAAGCATTACCAGTATTGCCCTTTGAATTTATAGAGGCCAGGGGTCCGTTTTACAAAAGAACTTACAACTAAGACCAAAATTTATTCTGCTTGTAACTTTCATATTTGCATTAATTTGAAAATGGGTTTAAACTTTTTAAAAGGAATGTAGAAAGATATTTTCATGATAGTAATATTAAACTCAATCATTATCTCTGCAAAATTTTACAATCAACTAAATCTTTTGGTCTTAATTGTAATTTCTTTTGTAAAACGGGCCTCTGGGTATTATTTTTATCATTATTCGTGTATTACATACAAATAAAAGTCAGGAGTTGTCAATATTAAAGAATATAAAGCTTGAATGTAATTTCTTGACAGAGAACCCCTTAATTCTTTCAATGTTTATAGTTTCTATTTTTTTTTATTCCTAAAGATAAAATTCACACAACTTACCTTCCGCTATCATATTCCGTGACTGGATTCATTCTCAATTACAAAATGTTAATAGTCAAGTTAATGAATATACTTATTTTTTAAATTTGAATTTCGTTCATGAAGATAAATTTGAACACGTTCTCATATTTTTAATGTTTCATATGTAGTATTGGGAAAAATTCATTGGATCTTTTTTCCAAATTAAACTATGTGAATAACCTTTACATCGGATACATTCGGACAATGATGTTTTGCAAGAATAATTTTATGAACTAGGAACTAAGCATTCTTTTTACTTGTATTTGATTGCTCTCTAGAATAAACTTACCCAACATCCGGAAGCCTTCCTTTTTCTGAACTTGGATCATTGTTTGATGAGCTATGAATGTATGATATATTATATATTTTTTTTTTATTTAGACAGCAGTTCCAATGACATGAATCGGGAAAAATTATATAATTCATAATATAATAAATTATATCAATTATTTTTTTTTTCATATATCTATATCTATATTTTCATATATTTACTTTGGTTTGAATGAAGATTCCAGTCGGGTAGTCCTTGTTAAAAGTACCGTGGTAGCTGGGGTGCTTTGGTAAAAAAAAAAAGTATACAGTACATGACAATAGATATTCACTGAACAAAACTCTGAACAAGAATTTTTATATTGTATCTGATCATATATACTTACGAAGTTGATTTATTTATGCACTTTAAATCTGCTTCATAGCATCCTAATTTTATTTTCAAACACATTGGATCTGGAAAAAAAAATCAAAAACTATTTTAAATATTTTTTTTATCATTTTTGCATAAAATTTAGGATTCATAATCTGACATGCAAGTTTGTTTGGGAAAACACAGCTACCAAGGGAGAACGTTCCAATCTAACTCTAATCAGTGTGTTCCCTTCTTCAAGTAAATTAAAATTTTCAAAATAATCTTTTCTTTGCCTTAAGTATATGTCAAACAAAAAAAAAATTTGCCGCGAGGCGAAATGGTAAGGGCATTCTCTCTACCATCTTGGAATAGTAAGGTGTCCTTTGCCGTCCGTCGGTCTGTCTAGCTTACGCCTGTCTGTAAACATTTTTTTTAAAATGCTATTTCAACAGTTTTGGGTGTCAAGTATGGGTCTAAATCCGAGGTCATCCAACGACAAGTGCTTATGGTTAATTATACAATTGAACAATTTTTAAAGGGTCGTTGAACAAACAAACCATAAAATCCCTTGCACACTGTCTAACGCATTGCGATTTTCAGAAAAAAAACAGGGTTTTTTTTACAGATCTCGTCGTTTTACGAAATAGAAGTCATTGAACTTATATAATATTGTCGCCGAAATACCTGGAAAAGAAATGACAAAGCAAAGAATATTTTCTTGAAGAAACAAACAATTCATAAATGAAAAAAAAATTAAAAGATAATAAACAGTGATCGACCTTAAAAAAAACTACGAACAATGCAATTATGTGAAGAGGGCATTAACGTGGACCCCTAGAAATTTTAGAGCTTGCGTTAGGTGCCTAGGAGGAGTTGTACCCGCTCTTTTCCCGCCGGGAGCCTAATGTGCATCTATTAATCATGTCGATGGAACATTCCATAGTCATATTTAGTATAAAAACGAAAGCTAAAGTGCGACCAATCATAGGAAAATGTAATAATAGAAATTACAAAATGCTAAAACGTTAGACTATCTCGACCAATCATAGTAAATGAAAATAATTTATGTGCTTTCAGAAATTACCCGTTTTGGGTTTGAAAATGCTCTTTTAATCTATTACACTATCTCAATTTTTAAAGAAATGGTCGTATTCTATTGAGAATAATTTGGGAGTTCAATGAAATGAAAATTTGGTTTATGCGCTTTCATGCGAAGACGAGCATCACGTCCCTGCTGTGGGTTTGAAGTCAAAAAGACATAATAAAAACGTTCTCTTATTGATTTAAACTTAAAACTATAATTATCAGTCTGTTAGCCTTATGTCTATTACATTCATAAATTATGTGTTACTGGAAACGTTTTGTCAGCTGTTCTACTTGCATCAGATTCTTTTGAATCTTAGATCAAGCACTCTAAAGACCTACTGTACCACGCGGTCGACGTAACAATCACTTTGTACTTGTCATACAGAATGTTTCGTTTTGTTTGCGAAACAGGGCGGGACTTATTTCGAGCTAACGATCTTGCAAATAAATCCGCCTTATGTCTCTCATACAATAGAAAACCCTTACCCTTATCACGTAAGTATTGACGTAACATTACCTGTAAGCACCAGACTTTTTTCGCAGTTTAAAATTCTTTATTTTATTAATATTACAGCCATTAGGGAAGCAATCCTAGTTGTTTTAGGCATACCAAACCATACACATTGCTAGGACAATGGATGGAGTAAACAAAAGTTATTTAGAATTGTCAGAGAGGAAATATAAGAAAGCTTTCCAAAGTATGATAGATCACGAAAATCAACTCCGACACGTTCTTCTTTTTGAAGATTGGTATGGGGACATTAGAATCTTGACCCGGCTTTCTCCATATTTATGGTTGATTCCTTTCACCGTGACAGTAATTATTTCAACTGTTTTCAAGCGTGCTAAGTTACTGGGTTACACCCAGAAGTACCTCATCACGATAATGGTTCTGGATCTTCTGTATTCTCTTCTGACCGGAATTCGAGATCTGATTCTTCATCTCTTTGATTTGGACTACGGTTACATAGAATATAAAATGTGCCGTGTTTTACTTTTTTCTTTTTATTTGCAAAATGGTTTGCATGGAACATCGCTTTGGATCAAATGTATGATGTCTTTTACCCACTACATCCTTATTGCTTTTCCATTGAAATTCAAAAGTTGGAAGCTAAAAAAGTTCGTCATTATTTTTGCGATGTTGAACCTGGCTTTTCTGGCATTCTTTTTTGTGTTGCCTATCATCATGCCCCTAAAAGGAATATGGACTTTTAAACTTTCTGAAAGAGATAACAGGTTAAAAGTAATCGAAGCATGCGCAATGGACTTTGATACAGGTTTTTATGATGGTGTTTTCTTTGCCATATTGCAAAAGTTCGTAATTTTTATTATGCTGGGTTATTCGTTGGCTATTCCAACAATTTTTGATATAATTCTGATATGTATCCTTACTGTTTTAATGTTAAAGCACTTAAAACTTTTGTCAGGCATGGCACGTTCAAACTTCAAAAGAAGCCGTGTTAAATATCTCATTTTGATGAAAATGAATATCATTCTTGGAGTATCATTCATACTCCAGGAAGTTCCAATATGTACCTACATCATCATTATCTTAACATCAGATGGATCGCAACTTCTTCAAGCTGCAGGGGTTTACAATGCTCTATTGACTCTCTCTTTTGTTATCGGGAAGCCAATCGATCTTATTATATACGCCAGTTTAAGTGATTGTTTTCGCTCTGAATTTCGTAAAATTTTCCTTAGAGGCAAGAAATTGAGGATATTTAGCATTCTGAGAAATAACACAAACACAGATGCTCTTACAAAGCAAACAACCGTTTAAGAATCAAGCGATACAGAAAATATTACTGCAAAATGACAGCGCAATATATTGCATTGCAAAACAAACGCCAAGCTTTGCGACAATTGCTCATTACACATAGAGAAAAAGATTTGAATGATTTAAGGAATACAGGATATTATTATTAAGAGCACAATATTTATATTCCTTACGACATTTAAGTATCTATTTGTTATTATTCCTTAAAGAATTGTGTTATTTGTCAGTCCGTCAGTCCTTTTTTTTATACCCAACGCAACAAGATGCGTAAGGTATAATGTTTTTGACCCGTCCGTCTGTCAGTCATTCCATTTTTTTTGTCAGCGGAACTCCTCAAAAATCGCTGCACAGAATTTCATCAGACTTTGCAGATAATTAGGACACAATGTGTAGATGTGCATATTACCAGGAAATTTCAATTCCATTGTTTTTCCGGGAATTTCCGCATTTTTACACTTAGATTTTGGCTATATCTTGAATATAGAGATGAACAGATTGTCAGCGCAACTCCTTATAAACCGCTGCACACAATTTCATCAAACTTTGCAGATATTTAGGACACATTGTGTAGGTGTGCATAGTACCAGGAAATTCCTATTCCTTTATTTTTTTCCGGGAATTTTCGTACTTTTACTACACTTAGATTTTTGGCCATATCTTGTATATAGAGATGAATAGTTTGTCAACACAACTCCTCATAAACTGCTGCACACAATTTCGTCAAACTTTGCAGATATTTAGGATACATTGTGTAGATGTGCATATTACCAGGAAATTCCGATTCATTTATTTTTTCAAGGAATTTCAGCACTTTGACTTTTGGGGGAGCGTGGGGTATGTAAGCTTGATCACTTTTTCTTTCATTTTGGATTTCATCAAACTTTTTAGATATTTAGAACACAATGTGTAAATGTGCATATTACATGGAAATTCCGATTCCTTTATTTTATCCGGGAATTTCCACACTTTTCAACTTAGATTTTGGCCCTACCTTAAATATAGAGCTGAATAGTTTGTCAGCGCAACTCCTCTTAAACCGTTGCACAGAAATTCGTCACACTTTGCAGATATTTAGAACACAATGTATATTTGTGTAAATTACTAGGAAATTCCAAATCCATTATTTTTCTTGAAATTTCGGCACTTTTCAACTTAGATTTTTAGGAATATCTTGAATATAGAGATGAATAGTTTGTCTCCTCATAAATCTCTGAACAGATTTTCATCAAAGTTTGCAGATATTTAAGACACAATGTGTAGATGTGCATATTACCGGGAAATTCTGATTCCTTTTTTTTCCTGGATTTTCAGCACTTTGAGTTTTGGAGGAGCGTTGGGTATGTGAGCTTGCTCCGATTCCTTTATTTTTTCCGGGAATTTCCACACTTTTCAAAACTTTGATTTTTTGAGCGTGGGGTATCTTGAATATCACCTTTTTGAAGTTTGTCAGCGCAACTCCTCATAAACCGCTGCACAGAATTTTTTAAACTTTGCAGATATTTAGGACACAATGTGTACATGTTCATATTACCAGGACATTCCAATTCCTTTATTTTTTCCGGGAATTTCCACACTTTTCAACTTAGATTTTTGGCCATACCTTGAATATAGAGATGAACAGTTTGTCAGCGCAACTCCTTTTAAACCGCTGCACAGAATTTCAACAAACTTTGGAGATATTTAGGACACAATGTGTAGATGTGCATATTACCAGGAAATTCTGATTCCTTTATTTTTTCTGAGAATTTCCACACTTTTTAACTTAGATTTTTGGCCATACCTTGAATATAGAGATGAACAGTTTGTCAGCACAACTCCTCTTAAACCTCTGCACAGAATTTCGTCAAACTTTGAAGATATTTAGGACACAATATGTAGATGTGCATATTACCAGGAAATTCCGATTCCTACATTTTTCCAGGAATTTCGGCACTTTTCAACTTAGATTTTTTGGCCATACCTTGAATATATAGATGAACAGTCTCCTCATAAACCACTGCACAGAATTTCATCAAACTTTGCAGATATTTAGGACACAATGTGTAGATGTGCATATTACCGGGAAATTCTGATTTCTTTATATTTCTCGGGATTTTCAGTACTTTAAATTTTGGGGGAGCGCGGCGTATATGAGCTTGCTCACCTTTTCTTTCATTTGAAAAAAAAAAAAATTGAATTCCCATTCAAGAAATAATTTGAAAAGTTTTTTTTTAAAATACAGAACCCTAT